AATTTATCATTGGACCTGGATATTCCGGAAGTAGGAACGAAAGCAATGATACTGGATTACAATTCCACAGTGGAGCTTCTTTTCCAGGGGACATCCTTGTTTCGAGGCAGTGACCATCCAATCCATCTTCATGGCTTTAGTTTTTATGTTATGAGGATTGGTTTAGGGAATTTTGATAAGGACAAAGATCCCTCAACGTATAATCTGGTTGATCCTCCCCTTCAAAACACTGTTCACGTCCCTAAAAATGGCTGGGCCGCCATTAGATTCCGAGCTGACAACCCTGGTACGTATCTTTCTTATCAGCAAAATAAAATAGATTGAAACACGGAGTAGTATAAGAAATATTCTAACTTATTTTAAAATTATTATTATTCTTTTTTTCATTCACTTTTTGTTTTTTGTTTTTCCTTTTTCTTCTTGAATAGGAGTATGGTTCATGCATTGCCATTTCGATCGACATATGACATGGGGCATGAATACAGTATTCATAGTTAAAAATGGCAAATCACCGGAGACCAAACTGTTACCACCACCACCTGACATGCCACCATGTTAGGGCTGTCTCCATTATATCCTAGGTTGCAAATTCATTGGGTCAAGAAATGTACGTCCTCCAATATATATGGAGAAAAAGATATACTGTAATCCTTGAAAGTATTTAGCTAAATGTACAGTTCTGCTCATCAGCAGGATTGTTATTGCCTTATTAATAATATTAATTGAGAGTGTTGTAATGCAATGTCTCTATCAATAGTTATAAAAAATGTAGTTGATGCAAGGTGAAAACTTATTTTGCTACCTAGGGATGTTCATTTCCAATCCAATCCGATTAATCTGACTTAAACTGATCCAATTCAATCAAAAATCAATCAAAACCAATATAAAATTAGGTTAGTTTAAATTATAAAATTTTAAAACCGATATAATTGGTTTAGTTTGTGATTTTATCTTCAAACCGCCCGAACTATCCGATTACAAAATAAAATCTGATTACAAGATAACTTAATTAAATAATATAATATAATTTTTTGTAGTATTTTAAATTTTCTCTTTTTTTTTTATTTTACAAGATAATAATTTCATTAATTTAATTAAAAAATAAAAATAAAACATCTGCATATTCTTTAAATTATTTTTCCATTTTAATCATGCACATTAAACCTAATTTTAAATTTTTAATTCACCTGTAACTTTATCCCCTGAAAATTGATTTGCGCCTTTACTCTTAGAATCTTGAATTTCTAATTTGTTCCTAAAATAATATTATGATTCTCCTAATTAAGTTTTAAAAAAGTATTATTCTAAAAGTCTTAAAACAATATAATAAATCTAGTCTTAATATTCTACTATTATTGAATATTTGGTTTAGAAGTTTTAAATTTTGATTATGAATGCTTCTAATCAATTTTAGTGATATTTATGTTAAATTTTATTTACTTTTAACAGGATTTAAAAGATATGATTAAATTATTAGTGCATTAAGAAAAAAAACTAATTTTAACCTTTAAGAATTATTTACGCTGTACTAGAAACTTAAAGTCATCAACGGTTTGAAGATGAAGAAATGAGTTTGAAGATAGAATGTTAATAATATCCAAAAAAAAGTTTAATTTTTTTTTTTCCATATCAAAATGTAGTATGTAGGAGTGTGGTTCATGCACTGTCATTTGACATGGGGAACGCTGAAGATATAGAATGTTAATAATGGAAAAAAAAATAAAGCTTTGAAATGTTTGGATATTATTCAAATTGCAGGAGAGTGGTGGAAGCAAGATATAATGAAGATATATGAAGGATTTCTCCATTCTGGCGGCGACCCAAACGTTTCCGATGCCTACACCATCAATGGCCAGCCTGGTGATCTCTATCCCTGCGCTAAATCAGGTCCAACCTTTGTACTTGCTGGGATAGATTTCCTGATAATACATCAACGGTCAATTTTTACCAAGTCTCCCTTTTGGAAGTCGACTGAGTCAAACCTTAAAAATGGATCTTTGAGTAGAGGACTGCCACACTTTTCTTTTCTTTTTTTCAAAGAAAATTGTTCACGAATATTATTGCCTGCACTTTTATTTTTTTCAAGGCCAAACCCTTATTTGCACCCTCTATTTATTTTATTTTCACAGTCAACACCTTACAATATTTTTACTCCCTATTCACACCCTCCACTTTTTCAAATCCACCAAAAACGCAATATTTTAATTGGCCATAACGGAAACGTTAATAATCATTAAAAATTGTAATACATGGCACCAAACAGTAATATGAACATTATATCACCTTATTAATCCAACGTGGACTTTTTTTTATGACGTGGCATTTCTTCATCTTTTTCTTTTCCCCTCATCCTCAGCATCATCTTCACCATCCTCTTCTCCTCTTCTCAATGGGTTCCCCACGAGGAACCTAGATCTAGGTTCCTCACGCAAAACCCAGGATCCGGGTTTTGACCTCTTTTTTTTCATTTTTTTATTTGAATGTATTTATCTTAGTTTCCTATTTTATGCAAAGCAATTTGGAATAATTTTTTTGTTGGAAAGGTGAGTTTTTTTGCTTGGAGATTGTTTCTGAACAAGTTGCCAATTTGAGTTCAAGTGGGATTAAAATGAATGGCAATAACGGTTTTTTCGTTTTTTGTGGGAAAGGGGTGCAAGATGCATATCATGTTTTTGTGCACTATTCATTTACTTATAATTGTGTGGATGAAGATCTTAGCTTGGTAGGCATTCATGTGAAACTGGGTTCCACAAGGAACTCAGAACCTGGGTTTTGCAAGGAACCCAGGAGGATGAGGACAAGGATGGTGAAGATGATGCCAAGAAAGAAGAAAATGACGAAATTAAAATTAATTATGATTTAATTATAACACATTTTAAAAAAAAAAAGAAGAAAAGTCCACATTGGATTAATAAATGTGACATAACGTCTTGGGTTCCTAGTTCCATGAGGAACCTAGGAGGATGAGGAGGAAGATGGTAAAGATATGCCGGGAAACAAGAAAATGAAGAAATCAAAATTAATTATGATTTAATTATGCCACATCATCAAAAAAAAAGGGTCCACATTGGATTAATAAGGTGACATAATATTTATGTTACTATTTGGTGCCACGTATTACAATTTTGAATGGTTATCAACGTTTCCGTAACGACCAGTTAAAATATTGAGTTTTTGGCGGATTTGAAAAAGTAGAGGGTGTGAATAGGGAGGAAAAATATTGTAAGGTGTTGACCATGAAAATAAAATAAATGAAGGGTGCAAATAGGGGGTTTGGCCTTTTTTCAATATTTGCATAAACATTCAGACTCAAAGTAGAGAAAGGCTTGACTTATCTCCTTCGGATAATCAACTCTGCCAAGCAAGATATCCTCTTTTTCTCCATTGCCGATCACAATGTCACCGTTGTTGGATCAGACGGCAGCTACGTAAGACCATTCACAGGGCTAGACCATTGATGTCCTTCTAGAAGCCAACCAAAGTCCCAATCACTATTACATGGCTGCCAAAGTGTACACTAGTGTTGTGGGAGTTGCGTTTGACAACACCACCACCACCGCTATTATAGAATACAGTGGAACCTACACTCCCTCTTCGCCACCAGTGTTTCTTCCTTACTACAATGACAAATAGGCGTTCGTTAATTTTACCAGTAGTTTTTGAAGCTTAGCTGATAAGGAGCATCCAATTGATGTGCCAATGGAAATAAACACACATTTGTTCTATACTCTTTCAGTGAGTGTATTTCCATGCCCAAACAACTCATGTGTAGGTATTCTTTTTGAAGCATGCTAATTTTGTATAATTAAAAATAAAAATAATAATAGCAAGTTACATAAATATTATTTAGATCACCTAACTATTAAAAAATTTTGCACCCAATTAATTACTCAATTTTAAAGATTGAGGATGAAAGTGTGAGCCCCTCAAAGTTTAGGCCTGAAAGAATGAATTTACCCGCATAATAAAAAAATAATTTTGTTTGATTTGTATAAGAAAAATCTCCTCTGCAGGGCCAAATGAAACGAAACTGTCATCCAGTGTGAACAACATAAGCTTTGTCAATCCTAGCATTGATATATTACAAGCTTACTATCATCATATTAATGGCGTGTTTGGGACCCATTTTCCTGATTTTCCTCTGTTATTTTTCAACTTCACCTCTAAGTATTTTCCGGCATACCTAGAGATAGCGCAATGGGGGACAGAAGTGAAAAAAATACTAGACTTCAACTCCACAGTGGAGATTGTTTTCCAAGGGACAAACTTGGTTGCAGGCAACGACCATCCCATACGTCTTCATGGATTTAGTTTCTATGTCTTGGGTTGGGTTTGGGGAATTTTGACAAGAAAAATGATCCCTTAACGTATAATCTGGTTGACCCTCCTCTTCAAAACACTATTACTGTGTTAAAAAATCAAAGATTCCCAAGAAGAAGAAGAAGATGGAATAAAAATCCAAATCTCTCATTGAACTGAAAATAAACTAATCTTTAAATAAGCTTTACAAGATAACATTATCTAAAAAAATAACTAACCAATCTTATCTAATGTAATTTAAATTATAACAACCTAAAACAAATAAATAACTTAAACTTCCTAAATTATAGAGATAATGGCTAAATAATAGGATCCAATTTCCAACAATCCCTCCCTTAAATTGAAAGTCTTCAGACTTTAGTTTAAAGAAATCTGAAAAACACTATGTCTACAATATGGAATCTACAGACCCTCCCTCAAACTGAATTTTGCATGTTGCAAACACCAAGTAACTTTCTTAGTTTTGAAAAAACTACTACTTTGAGGGGTTTTATGAATATATCAGCCACTTGATCTTCTGTTCTGAAATAAGCCAACTCAATTGTTCCATCTTCTACCAAGTTGCGCAAGAAATGATACCTCACATGTATATGCTTGCTTCTCCCATGCAGAATTAGATTTCTAGAAAGCTCGATAGCTGAACTGTTATCACAATAAATTGAAGTGGCCTCATGTTGATTCAGCTCAAGCTCTTCCAAAACTCTTCTCAACCAAATAGCTTGACAAGCACAAGAAGTCGTTGCCACATACTCTGTTTCTATTGTGGACAAAGTCACAATGGGCTATTTCTTTGAAAACCATGAAACTACACCAGATCCCAACATAAAAACATACCCAAAAGTGCTTTTTCTGTCATCCAAATCTCTAGCATAATCATTGTCTGTAAAACCTATGAGATCTGTCTGGTCACCCTTTTTGTTGAATAGTCCAAAATCTACAGTTCCATGTAAATACCTGAGAATTTTTTTAGCAGTCTACAAGTGCAACTCCTTTGAATGCTCCATATATCTACTAATTAGACTTACACCATGCATTATGTCTAGTTTTGTTACCGTCAGATACATCAGACTTCCAACAATCTGCTTATATAGTTTGTTGTCCACAGATCTGCCTCTTGGATCTTTCATAAGCTTTATACCTTTGTCAACGAGTGTAGTGACAGAATTGTAGTTCTTCATTTGAAATTTGTCTAGAACTTCTTGCACATATTTTTTCTGACAAACAAAAATTCCAAAATCTAATTGTTCAAGTTCCAGACCAAGAAAATAATGCAACAAACCCAAATCTATCATATCAAATTCAAGCTTAATGGTTTGCTTGAACTTTTCCAACATGCCAAAATCATTCCCAGTATAAATTAAATCATCAACATATAAGCATATTATAATCAATTTACCATCATCTCCAAATTTGATGTAAAGTGTATGCTTATAAGGGCACTTTTGAAAACCTTCCTTCAAGAAATAAGCATCAATTCGACTATACCAAGCTCTAGGTGCTTGTTTTAGTCAATGTAATGCTTTCTTCAATCTGTAAACTTTATGCTCAGAACCAGATTTCACATAACCAGAAGGTTGATCAATAAATACCTGTTTCTGCAGATTTCCATGCAAGAAGGTTGATTTCACATCAAGCTAGTAGATCGGTCATGAGTTCTGTGCTGCCAAACCAATCACCAATCTGATGGTGTCCATCCTTGCAACTGGGGCAAAAACTTCTTGATAATCAATGCCAAACTCTTGCTTGTAACCCTTTGCCACCAAGCAAGCTTTGAATTTGTCAACCTCCCCATTTTCTTTAAGCTTTGTCTTGTAGATCCACTTAACACCAATTGTCTTGTGCCCTTTTTGAAGATCTGTCAACTCCCAACTCTAGTTCCTTTCAATAGAACCAATTTCTTTTGCCATGGCTTTTTGCTACTTTTCTTCTTTAACAGCTTTCTTCATATGTCAATGGACCACAATCTGCAAATAGAGCAAAATGCGTGACTGGAACATCATCTTGAGGTAGATCTGTTACCTCATAATCCTCCAACCATGTTGGTCTGCTCTTTTTGCGTTGAGGTCTAGAACTAGTTCCAGATTCCAATTCTGGTGTTATTGGCAGACTTCCTCCAGTACTAAGTTCTGCTGCTGTAGGCAGACTTTCTTCAACTGTCTATCTTGAAACTTCGAGATCTGTTAAAATTAAACCTCCAATTTGCTGTGTCTGACCTGCTGAGTTCTACACTGTCAGATCTTCTCCATTTTCGAAATCTGCAAGAATCTGTCGCCTAGATTTTTTTGTCCAAGACCAAGTGCTTGCTTCATCAAACACTACATCACGGCTAATGACGACCTTCTTGGTTAAAGGATTGTATAATCTGTAAGCTTTGGAGTGATCACTAACACCAAGGAAAATACACTTTTCCCCTTTGTCATCAAGCTTACTCATTTTCTGATTTGGCACATGTGCATATGCTATGCACCCGAAAATTCTGAAGTAGTCAACAACAAGTCTGCGTCCACTCTAAGCCTCTTCTGACGTCATATTTGGAAGTGGAGATGTGGGACTTCTGTTCAAGATGTGAACACTCCAATTAACAGCTTCTGGCCAAAACTCCTTAGGCAAGCCACTCTTTGACATCAGACTTTGCACCATATTCATGATTGTCTGATTCCTCCTTTTACACACACCATTCTGTTGGGGTGTATATGTTGCTGTGAGTTGTCTTTTAATACCATTGGACTCACAAAAATCTACAAATTCCTTTGAGTTAAACTCACCACCATGATCTGTACACAGAACCTTTACAGATCTGCCAGCCTCATTCTCAACCAAAACTTTAAAATTTTAAAGGCTGCTAAGGCTTCTATAGGGCAAACTAATGGAGGAAGAAGCTATCAATGGAATTTTTTCCATGAAATCTGATCATGTGTTCAAGAAACTGAGCGGCTCGGACGAGGCTTGCTCAAAATCTTGGTCATTAGATAACAGATTGGATGATGAATTAAGTGGTTTGATTTCAGGTGGTGGTGGGTCAAGGGGTAGCTGGAACATAACCAATGGGAAGAAGGATGATGATGATGTGGAAGTAGGGGAGGAAGTGGTGAAGGAAGCAGAAAAGAGGGATGAACAGACACATTACCGTTGGAAGCAAAAGTGGCAAAATGCAAAGGGAGACCAAATTTCGGCAATGAATGACATACTAATTAATGCAGAAGGTTCCCAAAACAAGTTAAAGGCTAATTGGGATGACAAAATCCAATTTCACTACACCAGCAATCATGAAAGGATGATAGCAAACTCAAAGATTGTGCCAAACAGTCAGGTTGCACAAATAATTCTAAAAAAGGAAGGCATAGGATGATGGAAATAGATGGGCCATTAGGACTACCAAACTAAGTGGAAGTAAATAGAACTTGGGCCAAAAACAATAACAAGCCTTCTAAACAAACCAAACTTGGGATGTGAGACAGTGAATCTAACAATGTGGAAGCGAAGGATCATGTAGAGTATGATGGGCCAAATCCAATAATTAATGAAGTTGTAATCAAAGGGACCCTATTCAACAAAGATTGAGGGAAAGAAAGGGACATAATAGTTTCAACCAGCTCACATGTTACTGAGCAGAAGTGCTCTTTTGGGAGGAGTTTAAGAGCAAATTAGGGCAAGAGCAAGAGTGGATAAGTAGAAAGCAAAGGAAAACAAAGTAGAATAGAGAGAAGAAAACTAGATCTTGCTTCTCGGTATACATGGAAGAAAGAAAGGAGGAACGGGCGCTCAAGTTGAATGGTAGGAAGAAACTACCAAATGAGCGAGGAATGGGGGAGATGATGCCAAATTTTTGCCTTGGATCCTAAAATCAGGTTGTAGGTGAATTAGTCATTGATAGTGGTATTGAAAATAGGAATGAGAGTTTGCAAAGAACTACAAATCTTTGTATTGTGGAGAGGATTTAGGCATTCGCAAAGGAGATTGGAGCTAGCAATCGCGGTAATGAAATAGAGGTGATCGGAGACTAAAGGACATAAAAGATCGCGATAAGGAGCTATTTAGAATATCAAAGGTTAGTAATGCTGCTACTGAGGGAAATGATTATACTAATTTAAAAATGATATTCTTGTTAGTAAACTTTAGAGGTTTGGGGGGGAGGGGAGGGAAAGAAGAGCGGAGTTAAAGAACTAGTTATCAAAGAGAAAGTTGAGTTCCTGTCTATTCAAGAATCGAAGACAAACGTGGTTGATTATTAGTTGTGTAGAACCATATCGGGGGTAAAGAATTTTGATTAGGTAGCAAAACCATCTAGAGGAGCATCTGGAGGGCTAATCTATATTGGGAATAGTGAGGTACTTAGGAGAGAGAATAATTGAAGGTGAGAGTTTTGTGGGGGTTTATGGATTTTGGGGGGTCTCAAAAACTCCTGTACACATCTTGACCATTTATGCACCTTGTGACATGCCTAGCAAAAGAGTTTTGTGGTCCAATATTAAAAATCTGATTATGGAAGTATGAGGTAATTGGTGTTTAATGGGCGATTTTAATGCCATAAGAAATGAGCAAGAATGGAATGGAAGGAGAACTAATATGAGGGAAATGGTAGAGTTTGGTGAGTTTATTAGAGATTGTCACCTAATTGATCTTCCTTTAATAGGCCAAAAATTTACATGGTACTAGCCAAATGGAGTAGTTATAAGCAGGTTAGATAGGTTCTTACTGTCTAAAGATTGGTGTCTCAAGTGGGGGGATGTTAAACAATGGGGGTTGAAGTGAACGAGGCTAGATCATTGCCCAATCTTGATGAAAAATCATACAATTGATTGGGGCCCTAAACCATTTTGATTCTTTGATGTGTGGATTGATTCACTAGTGTTTAAAGAACTAGTGGGAGAGGTGTGGAGTTTGACAATGATCTCAAGTTGGCATGGATACCAATTGTAAGAAAAGCTAAAGGAAATGAAGAAAGCTTTGAAAGTGTGGAGTAGAAATATGGTTTTAGAGACAGACCTCAACATACAAAAGTGCATAGACTCCATTATTGCCATTGATTTGTAAGGGGAAGTGACATCTCTGACTGAAGAAGTGCGACTAAGGAGGAATAGCTTTCTAGAATTATGGAAACACCAAAAAGTAAAGGAAAACATGTGGCATCAAAAAGCCAGGAAAGCATGGATCAAAGAGGGGGATGCTAACACTAAATTCTTTCATAGATGTGTTAAGGGAAGAAGGAGACAGAGTGAAATAGTTGGCATACAAATGGGTGACAAATACATGGAACAGGTTAATGAGATTAAGGAAGGTGTGTCAAATTATTTTGAGAACTTGTTCACAAAACAAAGGTGGTAACGTCCTCATCTTGATGGGGTAGAATTCAAGAAGATCTCAACAGAAGACAACTTATTGTTGCTTGCTCCATTCAATGAAGAAGAAGTAAAATGAGCAGTGTAGAGTTGTGAAGGCTCCAAAGCACTAGGGTTGGATGGGTTTAATTTTAAATTTATTAGAGAAATGTGGGAGATAATCAAAGATGACATAATGGGTTTTGTGAATGACTTTCACAAAAATGGGAAATTAGTTAGAGGAGTAAATAGTTCCTTCATTGTGTGATACCAAAGGTTATTAACCCCCAGAAAATTGAGGAGTTCAGGCCTAGATCCTTAATTGGTGTAATGTACAAGGTGATAGCAAAGCTGCTTGCAAATAGGATCAGGTTAGTTCTAGATAGCATTATTGGAGAAAGTTAAATAGTTTTTATCGGAGGAAGGCAAATGGTTTGTAATTGCCAATGAAACAATTGATGTAGTGAAGAGAAAAAAGAAGGCAAGCTTTGTGTTTAAAATGGACTTTGAGAAGGCATATGATAAAGTATGTTGGGAGTTCCTGGATTACATGATGTCGAGGATGGGTTTTAAACCAAAATGGAGAAGGTGGATCAATGAATGTTTGAAGACAGCAAAGGTGTCTATTCTACTCAATGGAAATACTACCAGACAAGTTAAAATCAACAAGGGCCTTAGACAAGGAGATCCACTCTCACCATTTTTATTTCTATTGGTTGCAAAAGGCTTTAATGGTATTATTTCTTTAGCAGTCAACTGTGGACTTTTTGAATTGATATTGGTAGTAGACATATGCAAGTATCTCATTTACAGTTTGTCGATGATTCAATCTTGTTTGGCAAGGCCATGGAGGGCAACATATGGGCAGCGAAGAGAATAATGAGAACTTTCAAGTCGGTATTAGGATTGAAGATTAATTTTGGGAAAAGTCGACTCTTAGGAATAAATGTTTTAGACAATTGGATGTTAAAAATGGCCCACATTTTGAATTGTAAGCAAGGAGTTGTCCCTAGTAAATATATGGGTGTGCTAATAAGAGGCAATTGTAAAAACATCAATCTATAGAAACCTTTGATTGAGATGTTTAAGAAGAAATTGAGCCTATGGAAAGGTTGGTTCCTCTTTTTCGAGGGAAGGATTACACTCCTCAATGCAATGTTGTCCAATCTTTTAGTGTTTACCATGTTTTTGAACTTGTTACCAAAAGGTTTGATTCTCACTTTAGATAGAATTCTTAGGAACTTTCTATGGGGGGGAGGGGAGGGTAAGAGGAAGATTAATTGGGTTACATGGGATAAAGTTTGCAAAAGCAAAATGAAGGGGGGGGGGTTAGATGTTATAGATTTTAGAAAATTCAATCTTGCATTATTGGGAAAGTGGTGGAGTAAACTTGTAAGTGGGAAACAATGCCTCTTGTACAACATTATTAAACATAAATATGGTTGTGTAAAGGGTAGGTGGATTGATTGGGTACATGAAAATGGCCAAAAGGGATCTTTATGGTGGAGAAATATATGTAGGATAGATCACATTGATCATAATAGCGAGGGATGGCTATTAAGGGGATTTAAATTGAAACTTGGTGAAGGGAATTCTATCAGCTTTTGGAAGAAAGTGTGGACAGGGGATCAACCCCTTGCTAACCAATTTTCTAGATTGTTTCTTATTTCAACAAATAAAGAAAAGAGAATCTCCCAAATGGGAAAATGGAAGGAAGAAAACTAGCATTGATCATTACATTGAAGACGATCGCTATATGAGTGGGAGAAAGACAACCTTACTGAGTTGTAGGGATTAATCAATAATATATACCTAATCAACGGTCAAAAAGATTGCTAGGAGTGGAGGTATAATAAAAAGGGAGTTTATTTTGTTAAAACAACATATGCCCTGCTTTCCAGTAGCAACCATGATAATAGAACATGGATGAATGAAAGGACATGGAGCAAACTTATCCCCACAAAAATCAGTGCATTCGCTTGGCAAGTCTTGTAGGACAAAATCCCCACAAAGCTTAATCTCTATAAGAGGGGAATTACAATTGATCATAGCCAAGTGATGTGCAACTTATGTGGAGATAACATTGAAGATGCCAACCATCTTTTTCTTCATTGCAAAGTTGCTTATGCGGTAAGGGGTAAATGTGCACAATGGTGGAGATTTCTCTCAATTTAGCTTGAGACTTGTCACGATGATTTCAAGCAACATAGTCCCCCTGTTAAAGACCCATCAGTGAGAGCTGGGTGGGATGTGGTATGGTTCTCCATTACATGGTCCCTTTGGATGGTAAGGAATGGAAAGATTTTTAGAAACCAAGAGTTGACGTTGACAAAATTTTTGAGGTCATGCAATTAAGAGCTTTCAATTGGATTAAGGGCAAGACAATGGGTTATTCTTTTAGTTTGTATGATTGGATGTGCTCTTTGTCAATAATATTCTACAATATTCAGTTTGGTGGCTTGCGAACCAATACCCCAATTACTAATGAGGATCATGCTTGTAGACTGTATTATCTAGAAACAAGATTTTTCTTGGTCAAGTTACTGACAAGGAACACTTTGGTAATTTCACAATCTCCAACCCACCTCGTGAATCTAGCTGCTGGCACCTAGCTGTGTAACTTTTTGTCCAACATATCGACAAGATTCCTGTTGGTAAGTTGTTATTGCCAACCAGAATTTTCTCGGTGATGACCTTGGTCAACTAGCATCCTGAAGCAATGTAGAGATGATCAGCTTTAAATGGTCACAATGTGAATCTCATCAATAAGGGTCACCTCTTACTTGTTGAACCCCCTTTCCCCTTTCATTTTTGTCTTCTTCTTCTGGCAGCAAGTAGTTCTTGCTTTCCTTTCCTCCATTCTTTCCTTCGAATCACTTTAACATTTTTCTTCTTACAACGGGTGGATCAAGCAGTAGTAAATGAAATTTACATAATATTACTATTTTTTATATATTTTGACATTAAATTTAAATATTTTATGTATATTTTATTTTTTATGAAATTTAAACTATCAAAAATTGTCATTAATTAGTTATTGGATATTAATTAATATTGCTAGAGTTGTTGCTTTAGCTAAATTTTATGGATAGTTATCAACAAATTTTTGATAATTTTCTAGTGAAATTTCAACAATTAATAGTGAAAATTTAGTATTAAGTATTTGATATTAGCATTGTCAGATTTGTTTGGAGTAAATTATAGGTTAAATATGAACTTTGGTTTGTTGAAGGTTTTACGCAATTTTCATGCCTTACATTTTTGTACCCTTTTTTTTTTTTATTTCTTAACTATAAAAAATGTATGTTTTTAGCTTTTTTTGTCAACTAATCCGTTAAGTTTATCTTAATATGTATTTTTTTGTCTCTTAACATAGAGTTGAGGAACCTAAATTTTTTGGTTTAAAAGCCATGTTAGTCCCTCAATTTTTTGATTTATGTCAAAATTATGCTAAAACTTTAAAAGCACTAAAATTGTCCCTAATCTTTAATTTTTGGAACCAAAATAATCCTTGAACTTTTATTTAGTATCAATTTAGTCCTTAAACTTTGAAGATAGGTACCAACTTAGACCAATTTAATCATTCAACTTTAGAAATAGAATTAAAAAAATATATCATAATAGTAAAATATAATTGTTTGATTTTATGTCATTAATATTTAAAAAAACCGACTTTGTGGCAAAATAATGAATTAGGTAACACTTTTCATTAACATAAGGACTATTTTGGTATTAAAAATTAAAGTTTAGGGATAATTTCTGTATTTTTAAAGTTTAAGGATAATTTTGGTATAAATCTAAGATATTAGGAACTAAATTTGGTATTTCAACCTAACTTTTTAGCAATTTAATAATTAGTCGTATTTTGTTGTTGTATCTATTTTAAGTTGTATTATGCTAATTTTAAATGTAATTTTTTTAACTTAATGGTATATATAAAGAAAATTTTTATTGAAAATATATATAAATTAATATTTTAATAATTATTTTGTAGGTTTGTATTTTAGCTCTTGTGGATCCTCATTACACAGTAAGTTCATTTTTCATTATATTTTTATAATCGTATGGTTAAATATTTATTTTTTGTTAAATAAAAATTCAATAATTTGTGTATAATAAATTTTGTTGATGAATAAATTTAACATATTTATATATATGTATGATAAATTGGGGTTTTAACCAACTATAAAATATATAAAAGATATTATAATTATTTTGAAACTAATCATGTTATTATTTTTATTTTATTGATTTAATAAGATTATGGAGGATCGTAGTTGGATGTATGGGTGTCAAACTCCACGAGGAGAAATATATGATGAATTCTATAATGGAGTTGAATATTTCATTTAATTTGCATACAGTAACCTTGGTCTTGAACTAAATGATTTAATTAGGTGTCCTTGTACCAAATGCTTTAATTTATTGTTGATGACTCGGGGAATGGTATGGGACCATCTTACTAGGAATGGTTTCATGAATGCTTAGTTTGTTTGATGGGTGCATGGTGAAACACTTGTGAATTCAACAAAACCATGGTCTGTTACTAATCTAGGAGAATCATCACATAGCCAAGATACATACCATGATGAAAGGAATGACTTCTGTAAAATGGTGTATGATGCATTTTGTCCAGAGAATGATGATTATTGGGAAATGGAAGGTAATTTCCCCAATCAACATTTGGATGAGGAACCAAACAATCAAGTAAAGGCATTTTATGACTTGTTTTATGCATCTACAATTTCACTTGGTAGTTCTAAAAGAAATGAGACAGTGCTTAGCTGGCTCTCTTATATGTTGCATACAAAGATTGCAAATAATATAACTGTTGGTGGTTTTAATGCCATTCTCAAAGGATGTAGAGGGTTGTTAAGTGATGAAAATCAAGAAAAAGTTCCTACAAACTTTTATGAAGTAAAAAAATTTATGAAAGGGCTTGGGTTAGATTATCTAAAAATTGATGCTTATGTTAACAACTGCTTTTTATACTATGGGGAGCATATGAAAATATTGACTACATGTCCAATTTATAGAGAAGTGAGGTATAAATAGAGAAATCTAGGGAGGAAAAGAAAAAAGGACATTCTGAGAAATTCTCTTTGGTATTTGGCAATAATACCTTGCCTTCAAAGGCTATGCATGTCTCAAAAAATAACAGAGCACATGACATGGCATTTGAAATGTTGTGATGATACAAATGAGGTCATTCATCCAGCACAATCAAAAGCATGAAGACATTTTCATCAAATGCATCCTTCTTTTAAAAGAAAACCTCGTAATGTTTGATTAGGTCTTGCTATTGATGGTTTTAACCCATGGGTTCATTTTTCAACATATGGGTTCATTCTTCAACTCCCTACTCTTGTTGGCTAATTTTTTTGATTGTTTATAATTTGCTGCCAGAGATGTGCATGCGACCAAATTTTACTTTTCTTACATAGGTCATTACAGGTCCAAAAAGCCTAGGTAAGAATATCGATGTTTTCATTTGACCTTTAATTGAAGACTTGAAAATGTTATGGTCGAATGATATAAAAACATATGATAGTTACCGTAAGCAAAACTTCATAATGCGAGCTATGTTCATGTGGACCATAATTGATTTTTTAGGTTATGGTATGGTGTTTGGTTGGAACACTCATGGCCGGTTGTCTTATCCTCATTGTATGGAGATGACACGATCTTTTTACCTTCAAAATGGTTGGAAACCTTTTTTTTTTTTACTGTCATCATCAACTTTTACCCCAATCACATCATTTTAGATTTAATCAGAGTAATTTCTTGAAGGGTTGGGTTGAATTTGATAGTTCCCCTCCTCGATTGGATGGTATTTCAATGCGTCACCGAGTTGAAAACCTTCTTGATGTGTTGTCTGGGAAACCGTTTGAAAAGCAAACAATTGAGGGTTTGGAGATCACCCATAATTGGGGGAAAAAGTGCATTTTTGGGAACTTCCTTATTGGCAGGATAATCTTATTTGACATAATCTTCATGTAATGCACTGTGAGAAAATTTTCTTTGATAATATAATACACACTGTTATGGATGACAATAAGACAAAAGACAATGGGAAAGTAAGATTGGATTTAGCCATTTATTATGACTGAGGAAAATTGCACATGGGATATGATATGCACGGTAAGCTTGTGAAGTCTAATGCCAATTATGCACTTACCTTTGAAAAACAAAAGCTTCTATGTGCATGGTTAAAATAGTTGTGCTTTCTTGATGAGCTTGCTTCCAACATATCAAGATGTGTCAACTTGAATGAGTCCAAGTTATTCGGGATGAAAAGTTATGATTGTCATATTTTCATGCAATGACTAATTCCAGTTGCTTTTTGAAATTTATTGCCATTTGCTATTTGGTGTCCTTTGACAAGTTAGAAATAATATTCCTCCAGCACTCTTTGATTTTATGGAGCATCTAGCAATTCATCTTCCATATAAAGCTAGAGTTGGTGGTCTTGTTTTGAAAGGAAAACATACAAAGAAATTGATAATATTAAAACTTACTATTAATTGCTTTTTTTTTAATTAATCTTATCAATATCTCCTTTCAGGCGCATGCGCAAACTAAAGAGCACCATAGGGAATAAAAATCATATAGAGGCATTTATATTATAAGAGATAACCCTTTTTTGCTCTCATTATTTTAGGGATGATGTTGAGACAAGCTGGAATCAACTACTAAGGAACTATGGCGACATTAGGAGCAATGTCCCAAGTAAGTTATCCATGTTTTGTTGCCCTGGTGAATCAATAGGTGTATAATCACGTACACAATGTTTAACATTGGAGGAGAAAGATGTAGTTGAACTATATATACTGCTAAATTGCAAGGAAGTTGATGTTTAGATAACGTAAGTTTTACTCCTTAGAAAAGTAATAGCCTATATGATTTTCACGAAGTCTTAATTAATAAATAAATGTTATTTTATAATAAATTTGAGGAACAAGTTGGTGCATATTTGACCTTTGAACAACTACAAAGAGTGCTAACAAATAGTTTTGCTTGATGGTTCAAAAACATGTTAACAAATTCTTATATATTATTTTCTCAAAATTTTAATTAAATATTAAATATTATTAAATTAAATTTTTTTTCATATATAGGTGTTTAGTGGATAATATGAAATCAACAAACAACTTATCCACTTTGCAGTTGGCTTGATCTTTGAAGTAAATGTTTATAATGGGTTTTACGTGAACAACTTCAAATTTTTGACTAAAGAGTTTATTAGTAATAAAAAGACATATAACTATGGTATTTCTGTTAAAGGAACGACTATTAATTCTACAGATGAAATTGATTAAAAGAGGTAATCAAGTTATTGTATTATGGCCAGTCAGGTCAATAGGAGACTGTAGTTTTGTTCAATTGTGATTGGTATGACACGAGCCGAGAAATACGTGTGAATGTTGAACATGAAATCCTTGATGTCAATCCAAGGTTTAAACTTTCAACGGGAGAGCCATTTTGCTTTGCTAGTCAAGCACAACAAGTTTATTATACTTCATATCTGACGGCCATGGATAGAACTACTTGGGGATGATTGGTGATGAGTTTGATTTTGTTATGCATTTGTCTACCATTTTTTGGCTTAAAATTTAATTGTATAGGTCCTTGGTAACTTAGTTTCACCTTAATTTACATTAACTTCATTATTTGTAGATGAAAATTAAAATAGGAATTAATGTTTCAATAAGTGACATAATTTGCACATGCTGTAGTAATTTAATCATATCTTTTTCTTCAGGCATCAGATTGAGATAATTCTTAAGGTGTTGGAAAGCTGAGAAGTGGAGCTATAATTCATCTTTTATGAGCTTAACCCAGTTCCTTCAGTATCAATACAGAATTTCAGTGGAATGTGCAGCAAGAAGGCTGTGCGGATTGCAGAAAAGAAAGAAAGAAAACTGGGATGTGTTTTGGATGTGGGCTGGTGGCATACCAGGCCCAAAAGATGCAAAAAACCCTAGTCAAGAAGAAAAAGGAAATCAATGAGAATATTTTATACATATACCCAGATCTGCAGAAAGAAAACGGGAATCTGCTCTGCACATAGAAAAGAGGGGGACGCCAAAAATCTGTTCGCAAACAAGGAGGAGAGCACAACGCTGCTGCCCAGCCTGGTTTGAAACTACAGAACAGCCTTTGTTTCCATTGTCTTCTCTGGTTCTGTTCTCTTCTCCGACAGCCTCTGTTTGGGAGATCCGGACAGCAGCACGCCATCGACGCAAAGTGCAGTTCGGCTTGCTCTCCATTGGGATGGGTTTTGTTGATTCTTACTTGATTTTTTTACTATGATTTTCTACTGGGTTTTCCGAATTATGGCTGTCCAGAACTTCACTATGTGTAGCTAGATTTCTTTGAACTAGGGATGGATGGATTTTAATTTTTGGATTATGTGACTTTTTTTTTTGTTTAATTTAAGATTTATTGGTTATTTGCATGATGAGTTTATGTTATTGAGCTTAATGCTTTGAGAGCCTGATAACTTTTCAATTGATTTAGTGATTTATGCACGAACTTGAAAAAGAATTGTGTAAGTTAAACTAATAATAATCTAAACCGTGTTAGACTATGAGATCTAGAGGTAATTAGCTCACATGTGATAGTGGAGGAAGAGAAGAGAGTTAGTAGCTCCCCATTTTTAAGCTAGAGGTTTCCATAGAATTTAATGCTCATTAGTTTGTTTAAAATTACATAGAGATATGATTAATTTGGCAAACAAATGAAGGATTAGCTTAACTTGAGAAAGCTGGTTAATTAATTTAGGAAAATCCGCCATCTCATGCAATAACACTATTATTTGAACTTGAATTAAACTAATTAAACAGTTGCATAATTCAGAATTAAATGAAATTTAAACCCTAGTTCCTTTCCATTCATAGTTTCTTTAACTTAGAAAATTCCTTTAGTTTAATTTCTTTAGTTTAAGTAGTTTTCTTTTAAATATTTTAGCTTGACTCCATTAATTGTTAATTCAACTTAGGTTAGATTAATATTGTCTCGGTAGCGTAGAATAGTTCTTAAGGGAACGATATCTTACTCATCTTATACTACATAATCGATTAGGTTCACTTGCCTAAAAGTAATGCATATTTGGTCATCAATTGGCAACATGTAAAATAAAATCTAGACATCTAATTGATACCTTATCTACCTTATTTTCAAGGGAGATTGATGACATTTTTCAAGATGATGAGCCCTCCATAATGCAAGGCTCTTCATTGGCTAGAAATGTAAGTGCAAACCAATCACTTCAACTACATTCAGAAGGCGTTACAAAAGTTGAGGTTAATGCTAATACATCCAAAGAAGAGGACTATGGAGAATAAAAAGATTCAGAATCAATGAGGTAGACCCATTTACAAGGCTAAATTGCTTCCAAGTCCATAAAAATTAACAAAAGTTGCAATCTTTGAAGGAAAATACAAACAAGGATGGAAAAACCTAAACTAAAGCTATGAACAAAAATGGATCTTGCATTCTAATATGGAAATTACGCTGAAATTTGGAAGAAAAAGTCTAAAAATTCAAAATGCATACACGGTGGCCAATTTTTCTACAGGGGTAGGCCATCTGTGTGTGTGTTGGTTTTCCTTCTGTTTTCCTTTTCTTCAATGCTAGCATCCTTTCTTCGTGATTATTGGCCCTCTCCCACCATATATGGATAATGGGTGCTCCATATCTGAGGCAGTTTCCTTTTGTTTGACAGTTGATAGTTTTAATCCAATTTTAGTTCTAATAAAACCCTAATATTAACTGTCACGCCCCAGAACCCGAATCCGAGGCGCGACAAACGCCGTGCACTCGTGAGAGGGTCCCACAAATGCACAAGGCTCGGAACTTATCCAAATCACATCTGACCATCCAATAACTCAAATCAATTACAAGTGGCTAGCCTTCTAACTCGTCACTCCCCTTGGTTTCCCCGTCCTCAGTTTCGTTTCCTGAAATGGTGGACAAGGAAAACTATGAGATAACTCAGCAAGTAAATATGGATAGCCCTTGGGTAAAACTTTTAAGCACGCCAGATAAACAGTTTAATATAACCAAAACGCTCAGTGACAAAATCAAATTCAGTTAATTGCAAAGCATTCAATGACAACTCGTCAATGCAAAATCAGATTCAGTTCAATAACAAAACGTTTCATGACAAACCGTCAATGCAGAAGAAAACTCAGTTCAGTAGTCTCATCTATAAGTCATGGCCAGCGTTTATAAACCTCCCACTGGCGGGCATAGTAGTTGCCAATGTTTAACCCCATAGGCAAGGTTACAAAAGTGCCAGTGCTTAACAACTCCCACTGGCAGGCGTCAGTAATGGTGCCAGTGTTTACAACTCCCACTGGCAGGCGACAGTAATTACCAATGTTTAACCCCATTGGTAGGGTGAACCGGTTCTACAGAAATACATGTCGACATGTGCTAGCGTTTATAAACCTCCCACTAGCGGGCACAGTAATCAGTAATCATGACTATATCCGAGACAAAACCATGCAGAGTTTACAGAAAAACCCGAATTTCACAATCAATCTCGAATTTCAGAACAAATCGAAAAATTTCCATGTGGACATGGATTTAACAGAAACTCAATATTCACAAATTTCTCAGTTCATCAAATAGTTCAGTCAATTTTCAAATAGGCATGCTCAACTCCAGAAAAACAATGAAATTCTCATTTTCATTTCAATCATGCTCAATTCCAGAAAACAGTGAAATTCTCATAAAAACCATCACAATTTCCATTTCAATTTAATCACATTCAAATGCTGATAAAATCAATTTAAAATCACTTTAAACCTTGCCACCATCTCAAAAACAATTTAAAACATGCTTTAAAATCGAAGGGCTTTACCATAATTTACTTACTTCACTCGCATAAAATCGAGCACTCAATCTCAGTGCTAACTGACTGAACGATCGGAAACCTAATCAAAACACCTTAGAATTAATACCGAACTATCACAAATTCAAACTGAATCATCATTAAAATCACTCCCAATCCCGACGCTATTCCTATCAATCTCCACATGATAAAATATCTCCAAATTCGTTCTTATATCACAAACTAATCACTTAAATCCCCGTTATTTATTGACCCTCGGTGTGTGAACAGTGCCTATGAACAGTACCAGTGAACAGTTATCCGCAGTGAACAGTGACTGTAACTTCCAAAATTGGCCAAAACACTAGCTAATCATACGGGATTTTCTCTCCAAAATCTCGCAACAATCATAACAAGCTAATTTCCTACTTAAACCACACTTAAAAACATAGCTTAAAGCTACCAAAATTCATTCCAATTTCCCGGACAAGCAATGGAGACCCACGGCTTTCGCCAACAATGGCTAAGTCACGGGATTACCCCTACACAACATCACAACAGCCCAATTAACAAAATTCCTACATAAACCAAGCACAAAACACGTTTAAATGCTACCGGAATTCCTCCCCCATTTTAGCAAAATTCGGGCAAGCACAGGGCAGCACTTAATGGAAAAACCCAACACTTAAATGGGTAATTTTAAGCTTGGAAAAGCCGGCAACTTACCAGAATTCCAGCCAGCAGAACCTGAGCTTGGCTGGTGAGGAAGCCGACGGGATCCAGGGGGGAAACTCACGGCAAACTCCAGAAATTCAAGAACCAATAACAAAATTAGAGTAACCCAAGCCAAATGAAGAGAGAGAAAGGATGAATTCAAGGCTACTTCTTACCAGAAAAAGCCGAAGGATTCAAACCCAGTAGAACCAGACGGACAAGGGAGGAAGAAGCAGAGCAGATCCGGGATTTCTGGGTTGAGAGGGAAGATTCTAAGCCCCAAATCTCGTTACTTATCAAGAAAAGAAGGAGAAAATCCCAAGTTTGGTCACCAATTTTCTCAAAGAATTGAGTTGGTGGCTAGAGGGGCTTGGAGGGGGCTGTCGGGAGGAAGAGTCGAGAAGGAGAAGAAGATGAGGAAGAGCAAAACACGTGGCTGAGGAGGAAGAAAAGAAAGAAAAAGAAACAGAAAAAGTAGTTCATCCTTATCCTAATTTTCTTTCTTTTAAGTCCCTCAACTTTTAAAAATTTGACTATTAAGCCCCTCAATAATATTTTCCCTCATATAAGTCCCTTATTTAATGCTAAAATATCCCCAAAATTTTGGGATATTACATTAACCTTCTCCTAAAAACCCTAAACTTCCTAATTTAAATCAAACTCAATTACTACATAGATGATCACCTTATCACCTGCCATGTAAGTTCAACTCACCATGAATTTCGTATTGGTTGTAAATTTTTAAGCCTTAACCATCCATCTTGCTGACTTTCCTTACATGGATCTAATAGCTAGCCCCAACTTGACGTGTAGCTTTATCCATTGGTTTTACTTTAGGTGTAAAAAAATTACATAATGATACATTATATTTTAAATTTATAATATCATATGACATTGTAATTGTAATGCCTTCTCAAATAAAAAAATGAGTCAAATAAGGATAAAATAGTCAAACATATTATGAATTATACAAATAAATGGATCTTTTACCTTATATATCCTAACAAGCATCTCCCATCTATAATATTCACTTAACTTCATTTAGAATTCCATTAGCCACATTCATGGAACCACCACATTCATGAACTGGTAAATATATTCATAGAACCATTATATTCAAGGTGCTATCTAGTTTTGTTCAATGTTTCAGTTAAGTTCCATTTATGAATCTTATCAAATTCATCCATTAAATTTATGTAACATTCATTCTTCCTTAGCCTATATATATAGGCTTTCATTGAACTGTAACTAAAAATGAAAATGAAGATGGAGATGAAAAAGAATAGAAAGCATTACTAATTACCATACTTCTTTCTCTTCTCTTCTCATGATCTTATCTCACTTTTCTCCTACTCAATTATCACTTATTTCATAAGAAAACAAAATAAAAAGGTATGAGGATAACATATTAGGGTGTGGTACTAACCACAGCTTATGAGACTCTTGTGGAAACTTTCCTCTTAAAGGTTTTTGAACTTATTTCTTTATAAAGTTGTTTATTTATTTTGACAAATTAATATCTCAAAAAAAGTAACATTTTTAACTTTTATTTTTCCTAATATAAGATTCATTTGAGGACTTTTCCTATATCAATTTTTTACTATATACAAAAAAAATTATTAACTTAATAAAATTCCAACAAAACATATTAATTTTCCATTAATAAAATGGTTGAAAATTGATATACATTCTAATTCAACATACTCAATAACATATTTATTAAAAAATTATTATTTTTAAATTTAGATTCAAGACAATAATTAATATACATTTTGATTCAATACATTCAATAATGTATTTATTAAAAAATTATTATTTTCAAATTTAAATTCAAGATAAAAAACTTTTAATTATAAATTTTAATGACTAAACCAATATGTATTAATGAATGTGTTAAATAAAAAAGTGTACTAATTATTTTCTTAATTATAAAATTTAATGTAGAACAGATATGCAGTCTCAGTTTCTCATTTAATTCCACATTTACACTGAGGACAAAATGTAAATATCATTATCTTCCTCCTGGATCAACAATTTTCTGTGTTGATGCATCTAATTAGATGGTGGGAACCTAATCATTGAAATAAAATTGGTAATATTATGTATGATCAATACTGTAGTGAAGTGTATTCAAATTAAAACCAAATTTCTGGTTTCTTGACAGTGTATTCAAACAATAGAAAACACATGGACCTAGAGTGAGTTCATGCGACAGTGTATTCAAACAACAGAAAACACATGGACCTGGAGTGAGTTCATCTGCATGCAATCAATGTTTTATTCTCATAAACTCGCATTTGAATTATGTGAATGTCAAGAGTTTATTTATTTAGTTATTTATTTTGTAACGATGAAATATAATCAAAAGCAATTCTGTTTGGGGTTGCGAGCCCCTACAAGATCAACCATACACAATAGGCTCACATGACGTGCACAGTCAAACAAAATATATGAAACCCATGAGAGGCCAAAACTCCCTTCTTGGCAGCGATGTCAAGAGTTTATTAAGCCTCTAGAATTAGGACTCTGGAAATTTGATGAGACGGTTTGACAGGTGATACAGGTGTCGCTACAACAAAACTATCCTTTAGCGACAAAATAATTGAAATCCCGTCGTTAAAATTCATGAAAAATTCATACAAATAATGATGGGTTCTTCATCTTGTTATTAATACAGTTCATTAAAATCAAATTAACCACCACCTTAAAAATCTCATCATTGTTGATATTATTTTGTCACTTATAATAACGGATAAAAAAAAAATGGTGGTTGATTGTAATCTAATTTTCCCCCCTCCACATGCAAATTTTTAGGAGGGTGAATTTCGTGGTAATGTTAAAAATATTAAATGGTTAAAAAATAGAAGTGCATTGAATCTAGGGCTCTTTAGATCCAACGCTTCTTCTTAAGTTTGATTAAAATAAAACCTATGAAGTAAAGACAATTTTGGCTTAGCAAATAAAGGAGAAAAAGACAATTTTAACTTAGCTTTTCATTTTCCTCTCGTCAATCTTTCACTTCCTCAAAAAATTCTTGGATTTGGCTTTCTTAATCTAAGTTTCTCTTAACAAAATTGAAGAATCCATTCACCAATTTTGCTTTATTTTTCGATCCACCACTGCTAAAATGGGTTGAAGGATCTACATCATCAACTTCAAATTTTGGGTTTCTCTTTGAATAAGATGTGAACTTGGTATGAGTTTAATTTTTATTTCCTTCACTTGTACTGCTTTCCTCATATGAGTTTTGGTTCACTAATTCAACTTTATTTTCTACATTATTTCTAGTTCCGACTTGAGATTTCACTTTTGAGCTTTCTTCATCTTCGTCGACTACTACTTGGATTAAAGGGTCAGAGCTTCATTAAAGCCGCTTCAAATTTGGTATGAAATCTTCAAATGTAGAAAATTTGATTTAACTTGTTTGGGTTCTCAAGATGCTTCCTTTATTTTGTTTAGATGTCGTCATAGAATGGGTTTTATTATTATTATTATTATTATTATTATTATTATTATTATTATTTGTGTCTATCATCACATAATGGGTTTTAGTTTTCTTTTTTTTTTTGTGTGTTTGTGCTGGCTTGTCTTTTTGCTGAGAGAATGTGATATGATGCTTGTCTTTTTTTTTTTCATGAAGGTCGCACAAATTTATCTCTGTTATTTGGGGGAGGAGGAGAACTTTTTTTGAAATTTCACTTTAAAAATTCAATTGTATCAAACTCTATAGTTGTTACCATAATATATTCTATTAATATTTATATATTCTTATATTTGAAATTTACCTTATGTGTAGTAAAAGAAAATGGCACCTAACAAGGATTGGATGAACCTTGTGGGGAAGGATAGACTTAGTGAAGCATATGTGTTGGGAATTGAAAATTTTCTAAACAATGCTTTTAAGAGGAATAGGGGGAAAACAAAAATCCTATGCCCATGCATCAAATGTCTTAATGCATACCCAGGATGCAAAGAAGTAGTTAGATCACATCTATTTACTTGTGGGGCTTCCTCTGGCCATACCTTTTGGTACCACCATGGAGAAAAAACAGATGAGACTAAATTTGAATCTAATAAAGAAGAAGAGGAAATAGACTATGATGAGAGTGATGATGAAATGCAGGAAATTTTAAGGGTTTATATTCTAACTTTAATGGTTTTGATAAAGATGATGAGGATATTGGGGTTTCAAGGAATGAATTAGATGAAATAGAATTGAATAAGGATTTAAAGAAGTTTTATAGGTTGTTGAAGGACAGTAAAAAGCCACTATTTGATGGTTCTAAAATATCAAAAATATCTGCATTAATGAAATTACTTCATATCAAGAGTCTTGGTAGATGGAGTAGCAAGTCATTCACCATGTTGATGCAATTGTTGAATGAAGAGTTGCTCCTTGATGGATCTACTTTGCCAAATTCCTGCCATGAGGCAAAGAAGTTCATTAATGATCTTGGCTTGTCCTATAAGAAGTATGATTCATGTGTGAATGATTGCATTTTGTATTGGAAAGATGATAAAGATCTAAAAATTTGTAAGGTATGTGGCACTTCAAGATGGAAAATGGATAAGTTCTCAAAGGTTAAGTGTAAAGCAAATGGTAAGAAAATACCAGCAAAAACACTACACTACTTTCCATTAAAGCCAAGACTTCAAAGTTTATTTATGTCTTCAAAGACAGCTTCTTCCATGAGATGGCATCATGAGCAAAGAGTTGATGACAAAGTCATGAGACACCCAATTGATTCATTAGCGTGGAAATCTTTTGACAAACTTTATGAGGCTTTTGCTGCTGAGCCCCGTAATGTAAGGTTAGGCCTTGCTAGTGATGGTTTTCAACCTTTTTCAAGTTTAAGAGAACCATATAGCATTTGGCCAGTGGTGTTAATTCCATATAATATGGAGCATTGGGTGTGTATGAAACCCTCTAATTTCATCCTATTGATGATTATTCTAGGTCTTGAAGGTCTAGGAGATGCAATTGATGTTTATTTGCAGCCTTTGATTGATGAATTGAAAGATTTGTGGCAGTTGAGTGTCACAACATTTGATGCTTCAATTGGTCAAAACTTCCAATTGCATGCAACTTTGCTTTGGACTATTAGTAATTTACCAACATTGAGAATTTTGTCTAGATATAGTACTAAGGGAAAGCTTGCTTGTCCTATTTATAATAAGGATACATGCTCTATAAGATTGGCTAATGGTGGGAAGCAATGTTTTATGGGTCATTGGCACTATTTACCCATCAATCATCAGTGGAGAAAAGATAAAGATTCATTTGATGGCACTAAAGAACAAGGGTTGCCACCAAAGTCATATTCTAGTGATGATATCCTTCTTCAAGTGGAAGACTTAGAAGGGGTTATATTAACTAAGGTAGCAAAGAAGAGGAAAAAAATATCACATCAAA